TAATCTAAGTTTTTCTTCTCTCTCCCTCCATTTTTCTTGAATTTATTTATTGAAGAAATTACATGATTTGTCCTACAGAGTTTCCCACAATCTCGATTTTGCAGATTGCATCCTTATGGTGTTATTTAAAATGTTTCTATATCCTCTGGATTTCCTGAAAATTGGTAGTTAGATCTGGAGCCTTGACCAGATTGAAGATCGGGTTTTTTTTGTTTGCTTATTTGGCAAGAATACTTCCTAAGTGATGTAAACTTCCATCAAGGAGGCACATAAAGTCTTTTGGTCTCTTTTGATGACACAATGATTACTGCTATTCTTTCTTTGGAAACAGAATATTACCATTTTGCAATTCCTATCATTCCATTTTCATGTATTAGCTGGAATACTTTTATAAAAAGAAACTTGTACAAAACTAATTGGTTACCCTAAGGTGCTGGTTCGTATGGAAAAGGCAGGATGAATATGCTTTCCATTTACTTGCCAATTCTTGAAATAAGTTGGTTCCCTAACAACAGCCTCTAAAGGTAACCAATGAGAGTTTTACTATCATTTATGTGTTCATGGAAATCAGAATATTTGATATGTTTTTTAATCCATTGCAGCTATTATTCTTACTAATGATCAAATTCTTCCATCTTTGACCAATGGGAACCTCTTTGAGTTGGCTTCTGAGTCCTTTTTATACAATTTAGTAACCCTGAGTAGTCTGTTTCCTGGTATAACAGGTTGTTCCAGGCTATTTTATACATTGCATTCCTAGATCTGGAATTAGCCATTCCTCTAAGGAATCCTGGGATTCTTTTAGCGGGGAGTGATACTTAGAGACTCCCCCATTAATGAACATCAGGATGTTCCTAGCCTTTGCTATTATACATTGTGAACAGTTTCAAACATTTTAATATACTGTCAAATTATTTTATATAAGGGCTATGAAAATTTACACTGCAGCTATCAATTATTAAGTGAAAAACTTTACCATTAATTTCAGATATCAACAAAAGTAAATTCTTGCTTGCAAAAGAGTTGCATATGGTATTGCTTTATATGCATTCCCCAATTATTAGGGGGACTGGATTTTATAAGAGCACCAGAATCCACCAGGCTGAGTTCATTGCTTCTCTCTGTGCTCCCTGAGCATCTCATGTACATTTTGGACCACCACTTTGGTATGTTCAGAATGTTCATGAGGGTACTATATCTAGAAGGACATCCTCTACATAACAGACATTGCAAATTTCTATTTATTATAACAATTTTCTTAAAGATGGAAGTAAAGTATCTTGAAGCAGGAATATCTATTGCTAATCGCTAATTTGCACAAGAGTAGTGTACGGGCTAGTATGTTCCTCCACACCTGGTCTATAATACTTATTTCACAGGGGTTCACTTAACCCTAGTTAATCTCAGCAACCTAAGTGCTGATAGAGCACTCTGCACAAAGAAGGTACACTAAATGCTTAATGAATATTTCAAAAGGTAAATGAGTGTGTAAATAAACTGAGAACTTTACATTCATTTCAAATGAAGAACGTTGTTCATATACTATTCTCATTAATTTCAGTCATTTCTCAGACACTTTTTCTAGGTTCTACACTTTTTTTTTAACTTGTCCTTTCTATCCACTGTTTCAAGTCTTACTCTTTCATCATCCCTAACCCCATCTCTTCGATCTTCCATTCCTGCACACTTCGCACTCCATCATCACCACTTTTTCCTTCACATCTACAATCTTTTCCTTTTGACTCATGTTAATTGAATGAACAGTTTCCAGAATGTATTTACAGATAAAAAAGTAATTTTTTAAAAAAGATTTATTTATTATTTGAGAGAGAAAAGGCGAGAGACCAAGAGCTCATGCACAGTGGGGAGGGGCAGAAGAAGAGAGAATCTCAAGCAGACTCTCTCTGAGGGCGCTGAGCCTGACTGGGGGGGTGGTGGTGCTCAATCTCACGACCCTGAGATTGTGACTTGAGCCAAAATCAAGAGTTGAACACTTAACCAACTGAGCCACCCAGGCATCCCAAGAAAATAATTTTTTAAAATGATCTTTCCTTAATGCTTCTTGAAAGTATTACTTGGTTATATATGTTTCTCAAAAAAATACTTAAAGGAAAATGTTTTAGGTGTTATATTTTTAAGAGAAGAACATATTTCTATCTCTGACATAAATCTGTGACTACAATTCATTCTGATTTATATGCAATGGCAAAAAGCCGTGAAATGAGTCATAAAACATTATATGTATGTGTTTATGCTTTATTTGTTTATATTGTTTTTCTCCATTTCAATTAAAAGCTGTAAAGGTAGGGACCATTTGTATATTGTTTGGTACTATGTCCCTAGCACCTAGAAAAATGCCTGGCATATAGTAAGCGCTATTAAATTTTTATTCATGATAAGAACTATATTAGATACTTTATATTGATTATATTATCTAATTTCATATGCAAAAATTCAATCAGGCAGATATTGTTCTCACTTTACAAAAGAATAAGGATCATAGGATTAAATAATCCAGGGCAACAACAGTTGGTACAAAAATGGCAAAACCAGGCCTACCAGAGTATAAGCCTCTGAATTTGACCACCATGTACCCTTCTTCTTCTCCCTTACTCCGTCCTGCGAAGCTGGAGAAGGTTCTCTGAGCCTTAGTTCTTCCATGTGTAAAATGGGTATAAAAATGCCTTCCCAATCTATCTCACAGTGTTACCATAAGGCTCAGAGAACAACAAATGTGAGACACTTTTCAAATAATATCATGTTAAAACATAAATTAAAAATATTAGTAGAATAAGAATGACTATTCAGGGCAGAAGTTACACACTAAAGAGGTCTTGTTCACTAAGAAATAAAAACAAGCTATCTCCAAGTTCCTAAATATTCTATTATTTATATTATTCAAATGTAGTTTCATATTTCCACTTCAAACAAGGAGAAAGCAGCTATATTCCTTCAGTTAATTCTTGTCTTCTCTTCCAACAAGAAGTCAGTTTACTAACTGAAGATTTCAACCCACTAATCAAACCACAACTATATATATCCCTATATGGCCATGAATAATGGGTTTTATGATATGTAAACACCCTTTTAATTATTTTTCATATTATGAAAGTAGTAAGATAGGTAGGAGTCCAGACGTAGTAGCTCAAATTAAAAAATAATAAAATGAAATGAAAGTTACCAGTTCAAACTGATGACTGTCCAAGAATTTTTGTTTTATAAGTTAACATATTCAATGTCATTGAATAAGAATTGTAAGATTCCAATAAATCTCTAGCCCTCATCTATATCTGTAGCATAAGAGAACAATCTGGCTATGACATCTATCATTCTACTGGTCAGGTGGGTATTCTCCTCTTTATTCACCACCTCCCTGTTCACTGCCCCCTACATACTCCCTACCAAAAAACTTTTTAAAGACATAAGTAGGTTTATGTCTAAATGGAAAATCTTTTACTTTTCACTTTTATCATTATCATTGGTCTACAATGGAACAAATAAGTCATTTGTGGACTGTAGAAAGTTTTATCTTGCCTTAAATGTAGATATATTTCAAAATATTCTTTAACATCTAGAAAATATAAAATGAATAAAATGTGTGAAATTCCAATTTGTACATATATGAGGATTTTACCTGCATACACTGTTGATTTAAAAAGTACTGCAAGTATTAAAAGAGCTGAAGAATGTATCTGAATTTCATAAGCATCATAACTGTAGAGTCCTGTTCTAGAGTTCTCAGGAAATTTATTATCTAAGAAGGGACAAGATGCAGGGTATGCTGTAGTACACCTGAAAAGTACTGTCTTCAAAGTTTCCTCTCTATTCCTGTCTCTGGGATGCTTTTAAAAAAGCTGGAAAATAAGTGATATATAACCAATACTGCTTACAGAATCTAGTAAACATCATATGTAAATAACTCTAAACAGAATGCTCTTTTAAGACTAAGGTGACAAATCTTAATTTTAATCTCTGTGGATTTAGCATTATGTCCTTCAAGTACACAGAAAGTTTAAGGAGAAAATTTCAATTCAAGCTATAAAACTCATTTCATTACATATAAATTTCACGAAGTAGGTCAAGAAAACAAGCTAAGACAATTAGCTGTGATATTTCAGATGCAGAATCTTCATATAAATTAGTGGATCACAGTTGTTATTTACTCCATAAAAAGGAAAATGCAGAAGTCAACTGAAGACATCATGCTCAGTTAAGTTGTTGTAGAATATGTAATATTAAGGAGTATATAATATCTAAAAGTGGTTTTTTGAGAGTTATAATTCAATCACAAATGGCTATGTTGAGGTTATGAAAAATCACAAAACCAGGAATATTTTAGTTCCTTATTCCTTTCACTAATAGCTGAAGATCTATGAACTATTATCAAATGCTGAATTCCCATTTACTTTTTTTTTCAGTTTGTAACTTATTTTTTCCCATATGCTTTTTTTTAAAGTTTTTATTTAAAATCCACTTAGTTAACATACAGTGTATACTAGTTTCAGGTGTACAATTTAGTGATTCAACTCTTTCATACAACACCTGGTGCTCATCACAACACCTGCACTCCTCAATTCCCATCACCTATTTTCACCCCCCCCCACCCCCTTCCCTCTGGTAACCACCAGTTTGTTCTCTACAATTAAAAGTCTAAAGTGAACACTACATCAAAAACTAATGATGTAATGTACGGTGATTAACATAACATAATAAAATAAAAAAAGTCTAAAGTGAAATAAAAACTCTTAAAAAAAAAGTACTGGGGCACCTGGGTGGTTCAGTTGGTTAAGCATCTGCCTTCAGTTCAGGTCATGATCCCAGGGTCCTGGGATCGAGCCACTCTTCAGGCTCCCTGCTCAGTGGGAAGCCTGCTTCTCCCTCTCCCACTCCCTCTGCTTGTGTTCCCTCTCTCACTGTGTGTCTCTCTCTCTGTCAAAATAAATAAATAAAATCTTAAAAAAAAAAACAAAAAACAAGTACTATGTCAATTGCCTCTTTACCTTCATGACATCTCTATATGACCGGATGGCTGAGACTTTTCTCTTTTCATCTTCTTCATCTTCCAGGCCTTCATCTGCAGCCTCATAGCCTTCATCGTTACTGCCATCAGCTTCCACCGTATTGGCCATGTGATCAATGAGCTGCTCCAAGGGGGGGCTTAACTCCCTTTCTTCATTCTCCTTCAAACCATAGTCCAGTGCTTTATAAATAACAATTCCCAGAGATTCAATAACCTAGGGACATTAAAGAAGGTGATTAAAGGAGATGACTAAACAGCTTTACAGAACTAAATGTAAGACATAAAATAGTATGACACTTAAGCCAGGTTTAATCTATTCCATTTCAGAAACAGGTGACAAATTAGCTTTGAGGAGGTATTTAAAAGTCTCACCTATGCATTAAAACAAAAAAATCCCAGGTGGAAATTTTTGGGTGATTTCTTCAAACCAGTATATAACAATACATGAACTCTTTTTGTTTTCTTAGATTAATACTATATACTAAAATCTATATTATCCATTCATATAAAATACTAACCACGTTAATTTTCCAAGTTTCCAAAAGATATTTCTGAGATCAGATAGAGCTATCAAAGAACTCTTACCCCGGTGTTTATCAAAGTCGATTTCAAAGAAATACCAGGGATCTGAGAGACTGAAAACTCAGTTACTAGTAGCAACTAACTTAAGCTTAAGCAACAACAACAAATAAATCTACTTATATATAGATACACACTGCTCACTGAGTTCCATTTAATTATTGGAAACATATCTCTCATGTGATGCAAACAAATGAAAGACTTTTTCAAACTCTGATTTCAATGTGGTGCATAGATAATCCTCCCTACCCCCACAACTCCACCAATAGTACCTCATGAAATATGAACCTGATTTAGGAACACCGGGTATATATCACTGTCTAGTATCCCCCTCACAAATGCTCCAGACTTTTGCCAATATAGGGAATTCTACTTTATTCCTCAACATAGCCTTTCTTTTCTACTCAGAAAAATCACATATAAACAGCCCTTCTGTTTTATTTTGCAATGTTAATGGCTCATTTCACCTTAACTATTTTGTGGGGAAGAACACAGGCAATGAAGCCAAAGATTTAGGATTAAATGCTGACTTTTGGGGTGCCTGGGTGGCTCAGTCAGTTAAGTGTCTGCCTTCAGCTCAGGTCGTGATCCCTGGGAGCCTGCTCCCTCTTCCTTTGCCCCTCCCTGCCCCCCCAGCTCTTGCTCTCTTGCCACCCCCCTGGCTATCTCTCTCTCTCTCAAATAAATAAATAAAATCTTTAAAAAAAATAATAAATGCTGACTTTTATCATTAATCATTTAGTATTAAATCCTGACTTTTACCACTAACCATTTGACTCAGGACAAATTATTTATTTTAGTCATGATTTTTCTTATCTGTAAAATGAGTGTCAATGATTATCTACATCTCATGAGATTTTAAGACTAAATGACATTCACATGAATGGAAGTACCTAGTATAGTATCTGACTTACAATAGGTAGAGAGGAAATGTTATCTCCCTCTCTTGCCTGCCCCTAGGTCTCTTTTTTCCAATGCTTATTCAGGTACCCCCCCCCCAGTAAACAAACAAACAGATCTATCCTTTTCTTTATCCTACTTATAGCCAATGCTGTCTTTTTCTAAAAAAGTTGTTTAGGTGGTATCAAAGAAAAGGAAAAGTCAGAAGTTTTAAAGACAAACACAATAGTTATTGTCATCATATACACTATAGTCCTTAAAAGCATTCAGGGCATTCACTCAAAAAATCTCCACAAACTGGGTGATAGACATTAGGGAGGGTATGTGCTATGGTGAGCGCTGTGAATTGTGCAAGACTGTTGAATCACAGAGCTGTATCTCTGAAACAAATAATGCAATATATGTTAAGAAAAAGAAGAAGAAGATAGGAGGGGAAGAATGAAGGGGGGGAAATCGGAGGGGGAGACAAACCATGAGAGACGATGGACTCTGAAAAACAAACTGAGGGTTCTAGAGGGGAGGGGGGTGGGGGGATGGGTTAGCCTGGTGATGGGTATTAAAGAGGGCACGTTCTGCATGGAGCACTGGGTGTTATACACAAACAATGAATCATGGAACACTACATCAAAAACTAATGATGTAATGTACAGTGATTAACACAACAATAAAAATTAACAAAAAAACAAAAAAAAAGAAAAAAAGTGCCCCCCCAAAAATCTCCACAAAATCTGAAATCTGTCTTATCAAGTGAAATAATATTTTCTCAACACAAGTTTCAAAATGAATAAAAGACTTAAAATTCAACTTCTGATTTTTAAACAATACTGGTTTTTTACTATTTCTCACTGAAAATACAGAATATTTTCATTGATTTGTATAGTCTGACTTGGAACTCTAATCCCTATTTTCAAAGTTGAAAGGAAACAAAAGAAAAAATAAACAATCAGGACCACATCAAAATAAAAAGCTTTTGCACTGTGAAGGAAATAATCAACAAAGCAAAAAGACAACCTACTTTAGATATTAGATATTTGCAAATGGGATATCCAATAAGGGGTTAATATCCAAAAGATATAAAGAACTTCTACAACTCCACATCAAAAAACGGGCAGAGGACCTGAATAGACATTTTTCCAAAGAAGACATACAAATGGCCAACAGATACATGAAAAAAATGTTCAATATCACTAATTATCAGGGAAATGCAAATCAAACCCACAATGAGATATCACCTGGCAGAATGTCTAAAATAAAAAAGACAAGAAATCACAAGTGTTGGTGAGGATACAGAGAAAAAGGAACCCTCATGCACTGTTCGTAGAATGTAAATTGGTACACCCACTGTGGAAAACTGTATGGAGTTTCATCAGAAAATTAAAAATAGAATTACCATACAATCCAGTTATTCCACTCTTGCATACTGACCCAAAGAAAACAAAAACACTAATTCAAAAGGATATATGTACCCTTATTTTTATTGCAGAGTTATATACAATAGCCAAGATATGGAAGCAACCTAAGTCCACTGATAGACAAATAGAGAAGGAAGATGTCTCTCACACACACACACACACACACACACACACACACACACACACACACAC